ACTGTTGAGGGTTCAGCCTCCTGATGAGTCGGTGAAACTCCGACGAAACAGTTTGTCACAGCCCCTCGTTTGTTGTCCTCTTCTCCCTCTCTGCCTACGGTTTACCGGGCAGTTCTATTTGACGATATATATATATATATATACATCTTACGGTAACCTTGTCCCTCTCGTAATGTCTCTGCTCTTTTCTCTCGCTCTCTGCCCTGTGCACTCTCACTCCTACCAGCTATGGTGGTGGCCCGTTTACTGCTACTACCCTACTACCCTCTCTCTTTTCTCTCTGTCTCATCCGTCCGTACTTTGCAGAATAACCCAGCAGCAGTTCCAATCTACATGAATGACGAAAAAGTTTTGATGCAAGCTGTGACTTGACTTTTGTAGCCACAGCCCAAAATTAGACTTGTGGCACTGGTCTTCGTTGCCTTGGCCGCGGCCGGCAATGATTCGGACCGCCGCGGGACTTTCCTGGGACTGAGCTCCAACTGACCAGGGATAGTGCCTAACTATTACATGCTGAGCCTGCACACCGGGGCCCCGATGGTTGCTGGGGGCCCCCAGGCTGCACGCCCTTTCAGACATGCGCCCTGGAGGCCCATGGCCAGCCCTAAGGGCCGCAGGATTGAGGCAGCATTTATTTATTTATTTATTTATTTGCTGTCCTATTTTTGTCTGCTCAGGCGTCGTTTCGGACTTGCGATGCCACATTCTGGGTCTCCTTCGCAACTGGGCCCTTTGAGGCCAGGTTCGGTTTCGTCCGCTAGCAGGACGTTCCCTGCTGCATCGGCAGGAAGGTCTGGACGGCCGGTAGGGACCCAGACAGTGTGGGTCGTTTCAGGCCAGGGCCAGAAACACACCGGTGAGGCCCAGCGCTATACATAGCTGGGCCAGGCCAGGGCTCACACACAGTTCGTGTAGCTCACTTGTTGGGCAACACGCTGCTGGAGCAGCGCGACAAAGCGCTGCGCTGTAGAGGTAGAGGCGTAAATAGGAGGCGAGGCGGAGGCCATACCTGCATCGGCGGTACTTACCTGGGCACCATAGCCGTGCTCCACGTCGGCAACCTGCAAAAGGACCACGACGGCAGTTAGTACATGGCAGCAGTTACCTGCAGGTGAGACAGCGAGGAAGACGACGTCTTCCCTCCATCTCTTCCCCTCCCTCCTTCTTCTTCTTCTTCTTCTTCTTCTTCTTCTTCTTCTTCTTCTTCTTCTTCTTCTTCTTCTTTCAGAGAGAGAGAGAGAGAGAGAGAGAGAGAG